AGGACATGCAGTCCACTTAATGTGGGCACTTGTTTCCATGTGTATGTTACATAGTTACTGATGCATTAAGATATGATACCATGTTTGAACACAGACCCATTTCTGACTAAAGAGATGTCGTGGGGCATGTGGGGGCAGCTGGGGTGGGAATATAGAAACGGACAAGCACAGAGAGTAGAAAAGTTGGTTATTTGTCAAAGACTTGAGCTCTTTGAGTCATCTTGCAAATGTACATTCATTACCTATCTTTTCTGTATTTTCTGTCAGTTTTGTGTATTAATTTGACTTCCTCTCAATATGCTCTTTATTATAGCAAAAGATAGAATAAATGTAGCTCTGAAAAGCGAGATACTTCTGACCAACTTTCCAAAGGCATAGAAGGCAAAATTGGAATGAATCAGGGGAGATTTCCTTGTATATCCTTTTTATTTAACTATACATAGGTCTTTCTTGACAATTCTGACTATTTGTTAAATTTTCTTTTTGACAGGGCTTTTGTAATAATAGTCTTATTGTTGACCCAGACTGCTGACACTGTTTTGTTGGTGGAGTCTTGTAGAATGTATTTGTCATGTTGCAAAGAACTCTGTGTAACCAGAGGCATAGTCTCCAAACTAAAACAGAAGTGAACAATGAATGTGGCAGTAGTCTCAAAGGTGAAAACAAGTTTTGATTCTATGAAATACATGTATTGCTGTGTAATTTAGAAATACATGTATTGCTGTGTAATTTAAAAATAAATATAGTAAGATTATGGTAAAAAGCATGCATGTACTAAAAAAGTGATTTATATATACTTCAGTAATTCCAAATTAAAAAAAAAATCCAGTAATTCCCTTTATTCACTTGCTTAATGAAGCACTAATTTTGAGATGTGTTAAAATTTTAATTTTTTTTCACTAAGTGGCTCACCGATAGTCTGTGTCATAGTTATGATTTGTCTGTTAATCATCTCAATTCTATACTTTGCCAGCATGTCATATCTCTTGTTTATTTAATCCTTAAACTTGCATTAATCTCTTTGCACAAGTAGAGTTTTTGCCTATGCTTACCTTCAGGATAAATCGCAGTGTGTTCTGTGTGGGTGTCACTCCCTGGGGCTTTTGACTAGAAGCTCTTCAGCCCCAGCACTGCTGTTAGTTTAGGGGAAGTACATAGCCACACAGGTAGCTGGTTTGGGACTGAACTGTGGTAGGTAAGAAGTCTGTGTTGCTTTTGTGACATGGCCTAGAGTAACTTACTGTAGTTTTAAAGAGAGATTGGATTTATACTTCAGCACTGCCAGACTCAGAACATAATGAGTCTTTTCCTTCCATTATTTGAACTGCTAAGAAGAGCATCTCTCTTTTTCTTCTCGGCTGTCAGTTTTGGAGGGTAGTTACATGAGTGGAAGGGTGTACTAAAGGAAGAAGAAGCTAAAGTACTAAGAAGTCTTACACAAAAAATCTTTAAGGGTAAACTTGATTGAAACAGAAAAGTGTTATAAATTTACTTGAAGATGCAGTAAAAAAACATCATACTTGTCTATGGCCAGATCCAGTCATTAATAGTTTTGTCAGCTATAGGCTTCCACAAGCATGGCGCATCAAAGAAGAGTAAGATCTTTGTGTTGATTCTTCATAAACTACTGTTGTCATTATTCTTATGCACCTAACATAAAAGTAATGGCATCAGCAAAAGACAGACTCAGGAATGTTCTTGAGGCTGTCTTCAGGTGTGATTGGTTATAGTGGGTATGTTGTAGTTCCACCTCTAGTATAAAAAAAAAATTCTTATCCCTTCTTCAGCTGTTTATTATAAGGGAATAATCAATAAATTCCTTGGTACTAAAACTGAGACATGGTACGCATTTAAGGAAAAGCAGCAGAATCAAGATAACAGAATGTGTCTGTTTTCAGTATTCTGATGCATCAGAAGTGATGTATGAAAAAAGCTCAGATAAAGAGAGCTTAAGGTCTCTTTCTGTTTCTAAAGCCCCATTGAACTAAATTTGGCTGAGATGGAGTTAATTTTCTTCATAGCAACCCATGTGGGGCTGTGTTTGAGATCAGTAACTCCAACAAGGTTGATAGGACACCAGTGATTTGGCTATTGCTGAGTAGTACTTGCACAGCATAAAGGTTTTCTCTTTTCCACTGAAGCGACTGTAGTGGGAGTGGGCATGGGGCTGGGAGGGGACACAACCCAGGCAGCTGACTCAGGTTGATGAGAGGGCTATTACATGCCATATAACGCCATGCTCAGCAATAAAAACTGAGGGGAGGAGGTTTTAGGAGAGGTAACCATTGCTTGGAGACTACCTTTTGTCTGTTTGTGGGAGATGGTGAGTGATTGCCTTTGCATCACCTGTTTCATTTTTCCTTCCTCTTTTCTTCACTGTATCTTGACCCACAAGTTTCTTCCCTTGGGCTCTTTCTGTTCTCTCCTCTAGTCCTTCTGGGGGCTGGAGAAGGAAGGATTGGCTGTGTGGTCCTTAGCTGTTGCCCAGGATGAGCCCACCACCCTATAGAGCAGGATCTGTAAGGATGAGGTGCTCCAGTGGGCAATTCTGGAGTGCAAAATAAGATACCAAATACTTGTTTAGTGGTGTAGGTTTCTGTTATGTGCATTCATGGGGAAGTTTTCATGTGAATTCAACAGATCAAAAAAGAGATACTCAATGCTAATTGTTGTAAATTTTCTATAAAAATTTTTTGGTGCTTAATTGCTCCATTGTTTCTTTTTTTAAAAAAAAACTTTTCAATAGTTCCTCTTACTTCTTTCTTGTTAACTGCTAATATAGTTTACATGGTTTTGACTGGCCATTTACTGTATCCAACTAGAATAGTAAAAGAGCACATGAAAAATACAGATACAACCTACATAGTAAAAAAAAAAGGGGGGGGGAGAAAAAATACTGAACTGAAAATAAGCAAAGGGATGAAAACTAAATTCATATGAGTAATGATGACAGATTGTATTCTGCACTCCTTTTCAGATTTCTTAGATAAAACTGTAATCTAGAACACTGAGGGCCCCATATTATTAACATTATTGTTTCCTTAGAGCCATTCATTGTTTACTACATGAAATAACAGGGCTCTGCAAAGTTGCATCCTATACAAGAGAATTGTATACAGTAACTCTGCAATTCTGTGCTAGCACTGCTGGGTGCATATTGTAATTTTGGTGTCACTACTGCAGTGAAGTAATTTAGGAGCAAAATCTCTTAAAAGAGCTCATTTAAGCTTAGTGTTTTTGGAAAGCAGAGCGCTTTTAAACCAGCTCTGTCTAGGACACTACTTATTTATTATTCGGTCTATTTCAGAGCACTTTTCAAACACTTTTGAAATACATTTGCACCTAGTACTTATCTTCACAAAGCAAAATCATCAATCATACTTCAATACAGTCGCATTTGTATTTGATAGACAGCAGGTAGAAATAATTTGTATTTGATGTGTGTCAAAGGGGTTGAAAAACTATGCTTTTTTTGTTTTTGTTTTTGTTAATAGGACTAGGATGAGTATCTCAGTGAGATTAAGTCATCAGGGCAAGGGCAAAACTCATTGAAGTCAAGCAATATCTTCCCAATAATTTCAATAACTATGCCAATCTCAGTGAAACAGTTCCTCTCAGGATGGGTGTGAGGAAATATTGATAAGTTGTTGAAGAAACGGTGGTTGAGGGAGGGCTGAGATGGAGGTACGATGGAGGTAGCTAGGTCAGACATTTCATAGGTGGAAATGGATAGAAGGGGAGCAGCAGTGCTTGAAGGCACATGCTACTATACATACCAGATAGCATATATTATTTTGAGTGATGTCCAGTGCCTCAGCTAATAGGGTGGATAACAAAGGCAGAAAGTTAGAATTTGAAATCAAACTGCTGTGGGTTACATGAAGAAACTAACCTTTACTATGTCACAGTAGCCATAAATGATTTTTCTTTGTCTCAGGACTGGAATAGTTGCTTTACTTCAGGATATGATATCATTACATTGTGAGAAGGGGTTTATAAACATGTTCTTGTTTGAAACAAATAAACAGAGCTCACAGACTTCTCAACAGTTGCTCATTTAAATTTACTGTAAATATACTAAAAAAAAAATACATGAGACTGAGAATATTTAATGTTTTACAGGTCCCATGAGTAAGTGATATAAGCTGATAATCTGTTGCTGTGAATAATGAACAAAGTAATTCCAGATTTGAAAATGTTTCCTTGAATGCCGGCAGGAACAATCTGTAGCAATCAAGAACAAAAGGATCTATGTGTGTGAATTTGGTTATTAAAACATTAATGACAGTGAAGATGAAAACTGTCACTTGCCTTGGTTTGAGGAAATGCTGATCTGCATGTGTTAGCTGGCAAAATCATCAAAACAACAGAATCTGTTATATTGTAAAATAAGAATCCCTCAAATAATCTTACTATGGAAATTTCCCTGAATCTTGTGTATACTTGGAGAGAAGAAATACTTTTCATTATAGGCTAAATATTGACTTTATTCATCAGTGCCTTTTAAAAAGTTTTTTTTTTCAATGAAAAATAGATACTTGTGCTATAAGAAATTTTTTGAATTTCTGTACTAGTCGGTTTTGAAGTTTCAACTATATTTCTCTTATGTTTAATTGTAAACAACAGAGAACAGACTTTTGTGAAATTCTTATAGTTTTTATATGCTAGAGCCACATGTATGTGGGCAAAAGAAATTTTATATGAAAATTTTGTGGAAGATAACTAAATATAAAAAAACCCTCAACCATAACTTGTTACAAAAGCTACTGAGTATTATTTGCTCGATTAGATACAATATGACTAAAAGACTTTCTTAAATAGAACTTATTTTGACGTAGACCTGAAACCAAATTGAAAATCAAGTTTATTAGAAATTAATTCTAAGGAAACAAAATTAGATACTAAGTTATATTTTATGCTCTCTTAATTTTCAAAAATAAGTTTTGCTCACATAGAGAAAAAATATAGAAACTAATATCTTAAAATTTCTTCTGACTTAGAAAAAACTGACCAAGAGAATACTGTGGCAGGAGATAAAGATATAAACCAGCCTTCCAGTAACCAAAGTATACAAGCAGAGATACAAGAGCAGTCCATCTGGGGAAATCGCACTGATGGTGACCTCATCACAAGTAAGTATTTCCAGAACAAATTGCTGCCTTTTAGGCTTGCTTTTGCAGTGTAATGGGATACTGCTTGTTGACTCTGTTAAATGTGTGTAAATGCAATTGGGTTGCAACTGTAATGCACATCTACTGAATTTTTTTTTCCAGATTGACTCCTGTCAGCATGCATAAGCAATGAGTACAAAGAAAGGTGTGATTCGGGTGGTGCAGTATGGTATAGACCTCTGTAGCATCTACATTTTAAAGCCTTAATGTTATATTCTTCCCTTATCATTAATAGTATAATTAGCAGGCACATGAGTTGTGGTGTGCAGCTGTGCTAGGTGTCATCACCCTCGATTTCCCAGGCTGTATATTTAAGTGGCAGAGTATGATGAAAGCAGTTGTTTCCAGATGCACTGAGTACTGGTCAGGTGTAGGTTTTTTAAGAGTTTTGAATCCTAAAGTAGTTATTTCTTTCAAAACTAGAAGACTGCTGTAAGACAAGATTTTAGACTTATGCTATAGAACTGTGGAGGTTTTTAATTAGTTCTTATAGGTCCACAGTCCTAGTGTGTGTTATGAATGCTTTAAGACATGTATGCAATATTATTCCCATTTTCCTGTCTTGAGTTGAAGATCATATGCTGTCCAAATGCTCACCCACAATTGCACCCTCCTAAGGCAAAAATATTTCTGTCAACTGCCAGAGCTAAACTGCTTTAAAATTCTGTGAATGCTTGAACGTTAGTTGCTAAAGGGAGGGGCAGCATGAGAAACTGTTCTCTAATTATAGGGTGTATTCAGAAAGCAAATGGACTAAATGCCGAGTGGTGCTCCAGCTCTCTAAGGTCATTGTCTGATCACACACTTCAGTCTGTCTTTACACTGCACACAGACTACACTGTTCACAGGGGGATAAATTCATGTTTCTGAACTTGCTGTTCTCAAAACTGGAATTTTTGCTGGACTTATCTATTTCTTTTTAGTTTTGTTTTGTTTTTTGGGGGGAAAGGAGGGTGTTTTGCTTTCTTGTTTTTTAGTCTTATCTATACACTCAGCTTCTCCTGAGCTTTGTGTTAGTATTTGAAGTTCTTTTAAAATCTTAGTTAATCCTTTTTTTTCTAAATAATGAATCCCAATAAATACTTATACCCCTAATGTATTGAATAGTTAGATAGATCCTTTACGGGAAACCTACATTTAGCATGTCAGATATTTATCTGACAATTTAAAATTAATTCTCAAATGACTATAAAGAGGGAGACTTGTCCTGCACAGATTGAGAGTTTACTTAATACCAAAAGATTATTTTTTTAGACTTGACTGTCCCTGGACAAGTGATTGCTTTGCACTTATGTTGAGCATATGGAAAGGTGCGTGTGGCATCGTGTGCTTTTGGACTGACCTCCTTCTCATTCCCTCTTTTTAGAAGCTTCCTTATTCCCAGATTCATGAGAAAGCAGATTTATTTCGTAGCAGTTAGCAGCATGCCTGAACTATGGAGGAAAGGAACAAGGACTGTAGGGTGGTGCTGTGCTTCCTCTAATCTGTTCACCACAAAGACATACTACAGTGGCTGCACTGAGGGAATGTGAGGGAATGGTATGTTTTTTCAACACACAGTAGAAATGGACGCAGAGTGTGCAAACCCCTGGTAAAGTAACTTGATGATTGTATTTAGTTATATATCTCTATGATGGGAGGGTTATTTGCTGCCAAATTAAGCTTGATATACCTAGTAACGAAAGTTTGAAAACTAGAACAAGTGGAGCAAGGAGAAGCTTGTTTATGACAAACATTGCTCAGGTATTTCACTTTAAGTAAGTATTGAAGCTCAGAATGTTCTTGATTGAACCAGATCTATTACCCCACCAGACTAAATTTTGCAAATTATTGTATATTGAAAGAAGTTTTCTTCAAATAATATTAGACAGGCCATACTTCAATTTTCTGAAGTATTAACAGCTGTTCACCACTATCCTAATGATTCAGTTTCTTTTTTTCCCATACAGATTGTTTTCCGCCCCCACAGTTGATGCATACTCCATTTGTCTTAGCATTAGTTTTTACTTTATAAATGTTTCCAGCATTTAATTTCCAAGATTTTCCTTGTTTGCAGCTGTTTTATCCTGCTATTATATGGAATTAGATTAATCAGTCAGTTTTATTGGCACACCAACAACGAAGTCCAGTGTTGGAGCCCCTGTAATGACTTCATTATGTATGATTTGTCATTTGCACTTGTGAACTCAGTTTACCAGGCAACACCAATAAACTAAAATGCTGCCCTGGTTTTCCACAGTGAGATGTTTTACGTTCACCTTGCTCTGCCCTTTCAGTCCGTTTTGCAAGGTCCCTCTTTTTAACCTCTACAGATCTCCTTCAGATTAGCCTTTCCCCCCCCTCCTTTGGAGCATCCCTCCTCCCCATGAATAAAAATGTTCGTAAGATGCTGGTTAATCTTATGGGAAGCTTCAACCAAGAAATTAATTGTTTTCGAAGAGAGCTTGCAAATCAAAAAGTTACTGTATAGTGATATATAAACAAGGAAGAGCTATATAAACAGGAAACGGTTGTATTAACTTTCTGTATTAATTGTTAATGTACTTGCATAACTGTTACTGGAATACTGTGTTAGTTGGAGAAGGGTCAGGGGAGAACCACAAATATCTCAGGAATGACTGGAGTAGTTGAAAACATGCCTTATTGTGGAAAACCTCCTGGAATTCAATCTGTATAGTGTTAAAAAGGGGGCTAAAGAGGGCTTTGCGTAGTCCCTAAGAAGCATACCACAACAAATAGAAATTTGGTAAGACAGTTCTTCAAGTGTAGCACACAAAGGGAGAACTAGATATAATGTCTGGAGGTTCAATTAGACTAGAAATAAGTTGTATATTTTTAATAGAGTATTTGAGAACAGGAAGAACTGCCAAATATTTGGTGTGTTTAGGTGTGTTAAATTGCCTTTATTCATCACAAGGTGTCCATTGCTATCCATATCTTTCAATTTTAAAACCTGAGTAAAGGAGAATATTTCCATAGTACTTCCCCCAATTGGGATGAGCTCTATCTTTTTCAGTGCAGATATTTTTCAAGAAAATATTAAGACCTATTCCCTTCTCTTCACAGGCAAACATATATTTTCTATTTTATTTCAGGTTGTAGAGGTTCTGCTTTTCAAAAGAGCTTTCGAATAGCTCCATCTGCTATCTTCTTTTGCAGTGCATTTTAAATATCTGCAAACACCTTCCACCTCTTTTCATTGTCTGGTCTGGTGGCCTGTAATGGAGTGGTTCTGCTTCTGCTATCACTCACCACTGACAAATGAGGAAGAGCATATGTTAAAACAACAGCAGGGTAACCTGTGGCTGTAGGAATGAAGCCATAGCAGTTTTTGCTACTCCATATTATCACAATGCCTTGCTTTGTTCTCTGGAAGAGGTTGGGGATTTTTTTTCCCGAAAAAAGGCTATAAAGGTGGATTTCAGAATATTTAGGGAGAATTTTTGCAAAGGGCATTAGGTTATCATCAATTTGTGCTGTTACACAGGCAAGGGAATGTTTAGGAGGGAAGAAAATGCCAGTCTTGAACACTATTTGCTTGTGAGGGTATAATCTCCTTTCTAGTACTCAAGCAGAACCTTAGCTATGTGATATTTAAGAAAACAAAAAACATCTACCATAGATTCAAATTTTCATGAATAATTGATTAATAATAATCCAATTCTCAAGATTAAATACCTAAAATATGCCCATGTTTTACAGATAGAAAGGTCATTGCTATCCATCATTTTCTAGCTTCAATTGCCTCATTCTCCTCCATGGAACACCCCTCTCATAAGTATGGTTCTTCAGAGAAAGGGATGCTTCAATCAGCTTTGTGGGGATCAAACAGTTTTACATGTTCTTGTGCCTACTACTTTATTTACTATATTCTTCTTTATTTTGTTTTGTTTTATTGCATATAAACCTAGATATTTTTCTCTTTTGGTTTTCTATATTTTTATGTTGACATTTTACTTTATTATTTATGTAATTTTAAGGTCTGGAGATTCCCTTCATTTGGCTAAGTGAGTGACTTCTGTAGTTTAAATTATGCTGTTTGGGTTTAGGATTTTTTTTTCCAACAAGAAGAAGATAATCTGCTGTTAGAACTGTTCATTTTGTTTGATATTAATCCAAATATTTTTTTTTTGCTATTTTATAGGGCATGCTCATACTACAATTACTGTGATTTCAGATGATCCTGTTTATTCTGTCTATAAAATAATGCAAAGTGTTAGAGATAACATAAATGGTTCTCTTCAAAGCTAGAAATTATGATAAATACAGTCTTCTTGCAGCAAAATAAAGTGTGTGAGTACAGAAATTGTGCAGAATAGATTAATGAGAATTATCCAAAATATATTGCTGAGCCTGAAAGGTGCATTCTTTTAGTTAAAGAAGTGATTTATATACAATATTCCAAGTATACCTAGGTATAAAAAAGTGTGAACCTATGAATGAACAAAATTTAAGTCAGTTCAACACTTACATACAGCAAAACAGTATTTGATATTTCAAACCTTCTTTAAAAAAGATAAATCTTTGAGGAATCTGGCTACTTGAAGTAATGGAGGAGTAGAGGTTATCCCTGAAAGCTCCTTCCCCAGAGAGATTTTCTAATCCTCTCCCCAGCAGAGAGCTACCCTGTGTTACTTCTGTTTCTCCCCCCAGCCTGACAAATCTCTTACTACTTCTGTTCCAAAAGTCTTCAGAAAACCTCTTCTCATGCCTATTGAGAGGCCTGGTGAGTTGCACAGCCGTAGCCTTTTCATTTCGTTTTCGTTTTCACAGAATCACAATATCACAGCATATGCTGAGTTGGAAGGGACCAACCCTTAGACCTGCAATGGACCATCCCCAAGAATCACACCATGTGCCTGAGAGCATCATCCAAAGGTTTCCTGAACTCTGTCAGGCTTGGAGCCTGTTTCAGCACCCACCCACCCTCTGGTAGAGAGGGATTTTCACAGATAGCTGTA